ATTATATTAGGTCATTGTGTCAAAAACGTCTTCAACTACAATGTCGGACATTGTCGTCACTTCGGACCAAGATCGACCGCCATCCTTATCACAAGAAGACAAGGATTCTTCGGACATCAAAATATTTTGAAGCCATTCGGAAAATGATGTTTCACTGTGAGAATGATTGTATTCGATAGCATATCTTGACCATATGTCCTGGTTCTTTTCAAAGATCCAGGCCTTTGCGAGGGCTCTCGAAAGCAGTTTCTGGGCATGATAATTCGAAACTCTCCGTGAATAATATGATCTGAAAGCCATGAAGCCATTGATGCCCCTCCTGCTTTTGCTGTTTCGAAGTCTGTTGCCATCCGAGTTCTTGCGTCTTTTGGTTCGTACACAGGACTTTGATTGGGTTTGAACATATGTCTTTAAAAGTGATTGAAGATACGGGGACTCGGCAGGGATTCTAGGAAAGTCCGAGACAAAAAGTATTTGAGCTTGGTAGGAATTCGACATAGTAAAGAAAATGAGTGTGGGTATAGCAAAAAGTCTTTAAAAAAGTTGCAACCACTATCGTGCAGGTACAAAAAAGACTGATATGAAACAAATTACTCGCCGCTCCGTGCGTCTGTAGATTGTGGGGAGTTCCTATTTATGAAGGTCCAAGATGTCAATAACCTCTTGACTCATCCTCGATTTACGCTCTTTGCGTCTCTTGTTTGAAACCCAATTTCTAATCTGGCACTTGGTGAGTCCAGTACAGGTAGCTAGCTCTTCAAGATCTCTTCTAGACAAGTAAGGGTTGTCTTTGTTTTCAAGAAACCTTGTGTTAGTAGATCGATGGTGAAAAGATACCTACCATTCATTCAGTGCTAGATGTGCTTCATCAGGGAGTCGATTGGAGTGTGATCTCTTGGCGGTACTATGACAAGATGATAGATCCCGGTCGTGTTCCAAAAAATGAGTCTTTATCGTGCAGTAATAGGGCTCGTTTGACTCGAGGGGAGGGGGAGAAGACTCTGTAGACGATATATAGACGTAGTCTAAAACCAACTGCTCCAACCGAGAATTCAAAATTTGCCTCTCAGTGAGTATGAATAGGATTGCTTTGACCTTTTGATCCAAAAGGATTAGTTCATGAGGGTGACACCATAAGTTCGTGGTTTGGTTTAGTGTAGCAAAAATCTTCGCGTTAGTTGCAAACTGGCTCCCAACTTACCGATCCCGCATTGTTCACCATATTGCATAGTTGCGGATTCTCAAACATGCAGGGGTCTTCTTTCGAGATATGGATTATCACTTGGTCAAGCAAGCTTGAGACCTGTTGGATTCTGGTTGGCGTGGTTAATCTCGGCTTCTGGGGTATGAATACTTACGTGACAATTTCATCGTCTTCAAAGGAAATTCCACATCCAACACCCTGGCTTGAAGTCGAATCCTCCAAGTTGATTCGCGGTGGATCATTCAAGCACTTTTGCATCACAATGATAAGGTTACTCAAATTATTTGTGGTTCAAGAGGGATGGATACTGTCTTAAAGCCCCCAATCCAAGTTTTGCCGGTTGCTACAGATCTCGAACATCTGGTGCACGGGTGTTCTAGAAAACGTAAGAGGATCTGATGATCAGTTACCCTGCTTGAAATTATTTGTAGATGATTCATAAATGACTTAAGCCAAGATAAGGTGAGTATGCAGCCGCTCGATCAGGGTTGGGAAGGGGATATTCTTGTTTCTGTGGTTTCGTCGCGTCCAGTTGGACTCTGGATTTTAGCAACTAGGGATCCCAACTTGTCAGGCCCCTAGTTGCAAATGGCAAAAACCAAAAGTCTAAGCTTTGATATGTTGACAAAAGCTTGCATGCTGGTTGCCTGAAATTACGAAACCTTGTAAACTGGAACAACATCCCAGTTATGCGTGTGTGTCTTAAAACTTTTAAGGCGTTCAGACCGAAAGTCAACTTTTGATAAAATCTTTAGTTCGGGCAGTGTCGTCGACTCTTCGGATTTTATCACTCCTTAAAATTTATCCATACAGTTGAGATGGGATCTAAAGAAAAGGACTTGAACGGCGTGGTACAATTCCCGTAAGTATATGCGGTTCTGTAGACGACCAGGACACTAATGTACTTAGCTTCTGGTATGGTGGTAAGTTGAAGATTCGCGTTCTTGATAACTAGTTAGGTGCGGCATCAATGTTTGCATGCTTGTTTACTCATCCCTTGGATTTGGCCAAAGTTCGCCTTCAGACATCGAAAGCGCACGATAATGGACTTGTTTCATTAGTGTTCAAGATTGTTCGTCACGAGGGTTTGTTTTCTATTTATGGTGGTCTGTCGGCATCTCTTTTAAGACAAGCTACGTACTCGACTGCTCGCTTTGGAGTTTACGAGGAACTGAAACGCTTAATAAGTCACAGTGGATCCCCCCCACCAACGTCACAACTTTTGGGTGCATCCATGGTTGCTGGAGCCGTGGGTGGAATGGTTGGAAATCCATCGGATGTGGTGAACATTCGGATGCAAAACGATAAAGCTCTACCGCCTTCTGAACGGAGAAACTATAAACACGCTATTGACGGGCTTATCAGTATCTGTCGACAAGAGGGTGTGAGTTCTCTTTTTCGTGGGATTGGGCCCAATTTAGTCAGGGGAGTGCTTATGACGGCGTCACAGGTCGTCTCATATGATGTCTCGAAGCGTTTATTGGTGAACAATCTCGGGATGAACCCTAGAACAAAGTCGACGCATTTCTCTGCGTCTCTTCTTGCAGGGCTGGTGGCTACTACCGTTTGCTCACCGGCTGATGTGTTGAAAACAAGAATCATGAATAGTTCTTCTTCGGGTCGATCTGTGTTTTCCATTTTCCGCGAAGCAGTGTACTCTGAAGGAGCGGGATTTATGTTCCGGGGTTGGACTCCGGCGTTCATTAGACTTGGACCTCATACAATCTTAACTTTCATCGCTCTGGAGGAATTGAGGCGGTTCAGGATCGGTATGTAGTGTAACTTGAATCGCCAAAATGACGGTGGTAGCATACAAGATCTAGGAATCGTCGTGAGAGTGTAATTGATTAGTTCAATAATGTAATATTCATCCTATCTCTCTTGATCCTCAGAAGTTCTCTCTTTTTCCATAGGAGTTCTGGTGTGATGTTAGTGGGTTTTTTTTTGAGATCAAGAATTCTACCGGGAGGTGTTAGTGCCGAAGTATTTTCCTCGGAGGGCGTTCGCTGCTCTGATTCTGACTTTCGGTTTTGAGATTTGGCTCGTGCAGACCGATTAATAAACTTTGGCATCTTTGTGGTCTAGGTGAGTTCAATAAAGTGGTAGAAGTAGGGTAAATAAAATAAAAATGATAAGGTTTTGCGCTACGCTCCTCAATATGTAATTCTATTCGCGTATCATCTAGATCATCCAATATCTGGCAGACACCAGATTCGCACTGTTCCTAAATAAAACTTGCGGCCTTAGAACCCTTTCCCGTAAGGACCACCAGAATATGAAAGATCCTCGTTGTTTTCTTGTCAGAACTTTTGATGCACGTCGAGCGCAAAACAAAAAAATTTACAAAATATTTTTTATCCAATTAAGTCAAATGTCTGCTATCTATAAGGCTCTGAAGGGGGGTAAGGAGGCCAGTGTCAGCGGTGGTGGAGAGTCGCATCGAGTTCGGCAGAGAAGCCTTCTTTTACTATCGCGCGGCGTTGTTCAACGGCATAGGCATTTTATCAATGATATCCATTCGTTATTACCCCAATCTAGAAAGGAATCGAAGTTGGATACGAAAAAGAATCTCTACGAGTTAAATGAGCTTGCTGAGCTTCACAACTGCAATAATGTGATATATTTCGAAAGTCGGAAACACACAGATTTATATCTGTGGTTGGCCAAAGCACCGAATGGACCAAGTGCAAAATTCCATATACAAAATTTGCATACCATGCACGAGCTCGATTTCACAGGGAACTGTTTGAAAGGGTCCCGTCCAATTTTGTCCTTCGACAAAACCTTCGATGATGCTCCTCATCTAAAATTGATAAAGGAAATGATGGTCCACCAATTTGGGGTTCCACCGGGAGCGAGAAAATCGAAGCCGTTCATCGACCGTCTTATGACATTTAGCGTTTTGGAGGGGAAAATATGGGTTCGTAATTATCAGATTAGCGAAGTGGAGGCGGCTGAACTCAATAGTGGGACTACAGATGAGGAGTCTATTCGGTTGGTCGAAATTGGTCCTAGATTCGTGCTGACTCCCGTTACCATTTTGGAAGGTTCGTTTTGTGGTCCCAAACTCTACGAGAACAAAGAGTTTGTTTCACCAAACACTGCACGGTCTTTGCGGAAATTAGAGGCAGCAACAAAAGCAGCAGCTCGGCAAAACCAATCAAAGAAACACAAGATATAGAAACAGAATCATTCGTGTGTCGCGATCTGTCATAGTTTATTGTTACTTTGTGGTTGGTGTAGAAATGTAATCAGTATATTTTCAATCTAGTTGGACTATATAAAATGTTGTCATAAACAACGCAGGCTTTTAAGAATGCTTGGTGAGGTACTCTTTGATGAATTTCTCTTCTTCTGCAGACGATGCGTCAATTTTCGGTTCGAGTTTACCTTTAGCTCCAAAAGGGTTTGGTGCCACGAGAGCGACAACAGAGCCAATTGTAGCAATCGCAAGCTATCACGAATTAGTCCTAACTTCACAGGTTTTCAACACTTACATGATGTGGTGGGATTGCTCTTCCCAAAATTGTGTATGCAGCAGCCATTTGTTTGCAATTGAATTCAACGTCCAAATGTTTTTTTCATTCAGGAAACGAACTTCTACGAAAGTGTTAAAACCGGGTAAGTTTCGCAAGTAGTTTTACAGTTCTAAAGCGCCAGTAGAAATTTACTGTATACCATAGAGTTATTTATTTTGATCGCTAGGCCTTGGGTAGAACAAGTTTTCTTTATTCATGCAGAAGAACTGATGAAACACGGCTGTTCCATTTCGATTGTATGAGTGATTTCGTACTTGCTGAATTGAAAGATGGCGTTTTGTCATAAGAGAAGTCTTTTGCTTGGTGCTATCCATACGAGTGTGTCAAGCGAACTCGCCTTTGCCGGAAAGGGCGACTCCGACGAGCCGAAGAATATTGTTTTCGGGTCCATGGATAGAAAACCTACACAGCGTAGAAAAGGTGATAATCATGCTTATAGCAAAGAATTTTATGATCCAAAGGTGTCGAGTCCATTTGCTCACAGTGATAATGACAATGAGACCCAAAGTTTATTACAGATCAGTCAGGATGACAAATACGCATTGGGTCTTTCCCTTGGTGATACCTCGGAGAGATCGACCGATGACTCAATTGCATCAGGTAGGAACGAAATTAGTTCTCGAGGTGCTGTGGGTGATTTAAAGTTGAACACGGTTGACAGCGCTGCGGAATTTTCGAAAGTTTCTCCTGCCATAAGCAAAAATCTTTCCGATTATCTGTCAGGAGAGTCTGCGGTGGAGAGTATCGATTTGATAGGAACTTCGGTGGAGTCTGGAGCTGTTTTAGCTAGAGATCCAGTTTACAGCATTTGGGAAACTCCTGATTTGGAGGTAAGTGCTTATGGCTATCAAAGTGATTTTGGTTCCGGCAGTTCTTCTTTCGACTCTGGAGTGATGGTATTATCAGATAATTTGTCTCAGCATTCAATTCCACGAAGGGGTCGCATATCTAGCTCTTCTAAAGTGCTCTCGTCTGGGTATCGGCTGTCAACTTCCAAATTGGGAAATGACAGCTCGATTGTGAGTTCCAGTTGTATATCTGGCTCCAGCAATGCCGACAATCAAGTTCAGATGCATTTTGAAAGACGTCAATTTGATATGGAACCCCGTTCTAATTTGTCCAATCTAAGCAGACTAATCAAGGAGGATGGTGGAAATACCGACAAGTTGCCAGCATTCACCACCGAGGACGGGGGATCGGTAAAGTGCCTCATATCCGTGCCAAAGCTTGGTATCAATATATCCGATCCTCTTGTTTTGCACGTCAGATTGGATGTTACGATCTCCTGGGTAATTGATGTGATATTGGAGCAACTCCGCAAGACTCGCGAGCAGGTATTTGGTAATCAATTGAAATGCGAGTTGTATCTATCAGACGAAGATGGAGAAATTGACGACGATATGGGACCTTTGGACAAAAGCAGGACAATCGGATCTTATGGCGCGGATGAGTTTGTTTTGGATCTGGGATCAGAGAAGAATAAATTTGAGCAAACTAGTCAGTTACAGCTTCAGGAATCGGAGCTGGCCAGAAACACAACCCGGGACGATGAAGTAAGTGGGTCGCTCGATACGCTAAAATTTCGCTCTTCGTCCGCAAACGTCAACCGTCACACGAACATTTCTCGTCATATTGTTTCTAAACCTTCAAATCTGGAAGGCGATTCTTATGATGCCGTTTTACCGTCGCGTCCTCGGCCACCCGTTGAAGAGAGTTCAACAACAAAATTAGTTCTTTCTACAACACCAGAAAGTGTTAACTCTTTCAATTCGGTGCAGACAAAGTCGGTAGATACCCCAAACGACTTTGTACACAGAGATTCGCGAGTTCATGTCACGCGACGGAAGAAGAAGTTCCAAACCTTTTTGCATCTGGCTGGTTTGGACGGAGGTGCACTTGATTCTGTTCGAGGTTCAGAGAAGAAAACTGTACCTGCAGGTGATCTGGAAGAACTGGGGCTGGCGACATATCACCGGTGGACAGTATGGCGACGTCAGCAAATGTCTGTGAAAGGGCGTTACCCCAAGTCTCTCGCTATTGATGGACATCGGATTTACATTTTACCTTTCAACGAATGGAAAGGCTCGTGGTATGAATCGAAAACATCAAGTTTCAACGTCGACCAGATTGTGAAGGTAAAGCAAAATGCTAGAGTTTCACACTACTTTAAGATTGTGGTATTGAAACACATGAACGAGGCTCCAAAAACGTATCATCTTGAGGCAGCCAACGGGAACGAGTGTGCGGCTATTGTGAAAACACTCAATTCGCTGATGCGTCGATATCACAATGGTCTCAAATCTCGTCATCAATAATACCATTGGGCGTGTCCGGGTCTCAAGAAACCGTGCGTCCTTCAAACATGACCGATATAGCTTACTCCGCGAATCCAAGAAGTCGTCTTATACTGCGCATAAATCATTGCTTAATCTTCAGTTAGTCACTACTTACGATAAAACATATTTTACTGTTAGAATAGACACACATCGATAAACCTCCACTCCATTAGTCTAAGTTTCCGAGATCGCAAGTGCGAGAGACTGCACGTCATCATGAGATATCGAAACCTTGATTGTTTGGATACCTTTTCTGGTCGCGGCAATTTTCGCATCACCATGCAAAATTACCAAAGGAGCTCCGTTGTTCTCTCTCAGAATTTCAATGGCTTTCATTGAAGCACCCGCCCCCTTGGAATCGACTCCCATGGATTTAAAGACGGCTTCTTTAGCCGACCAAGTACCCGCGAACGACGCCCGAGGAGATGGCGCGGAAAGACAGTACTTTATTTCGCTGTCTGTGAAATTTCTCTGGATGAATGTTTCATTGTCTATGTTGATGCATGAAAGAAGTTCAACATCAACACCGACGCCCTTGCCACCGGTCAATCCATTTGCCATATCCGCAATAATCTTGGAAGTTTCCGAGGTGGTTTCCGAACCCTTGAGCGAGGCTTGAATATCCGAGGCATCGAAGGCGAGTTTTTTCTCTTTGTTCAGCGAGACCCTGGCTAAAGGATCCAAATAGACGGAACTCTCAAGATCCTCACTATATGGTGGTTTGCTCTTAGCCACAAACAAGGAATTGTTCAGCATTGCATTATGCATGTATCTGTACGATTTCTTGTATCTCGTGGAAACCAATTTTTGGTAATCCAAATACTGTCTCTCTGAAAGGGCAGCATATAGGTAATCAGAATTAACGACAATTGCCTGCGCGCCCTTCTGACCAAAGCCGAAAGACGTGATGGAAATTGCTTTGATCCCATCTGTTTGGATTGATCGAGACGGGAACAAAACGTACTCGTAGTTTTCGAGAATTTTATCCACGTTGTCTGCGTTTCTATTACCCGGGACCAGGCCCGACTGCAGAATCTGAAGAGCACCGTTCAGCATCCAGGCACCAGCAGCTCCTTTCGGATGACCTGTTAGGTACTTCTGGAATACACCATAAACTGGGTTTCCTTCAGAGCGGCCTAGATGGCTCATCATCCGGTCGATGGCAGCAGTCTCATTCTTATCATTTGCCTTCGTAGAGGTACCGTGGAATGAACAAACTCCTAGATCATCGATAGTTAAATCGAAAGTCGCAAGAGCACCCCTAATAGGGGCAATACGAGAATCGTCTTTCCAAAATTCGTTTCCGTACATTCTCTGTGCATCTTTGATCTGTTTCTTGGCTTCTTTGGAGATCTCTCTCGAGCGGTCTTCAATAAATTCTTCCTTGTTGAAGGAGGCATTGTCAGCCTGCAAGGATTCGGCTTCTTCCGCCAAAAGTGCCAATTCCGCTTCGACCCACGCCTTGACTTGTGAAGTTCTAGCTTTTAGCTGCCTAGCTCTATATTTAATGTCAAGTTTTGGCGATTTGAATTTCGAATTTCCGTGGTATTCCCTGGCTGTTGTTAGAATTCCCTTTCCAGGAGCCGGCACGGATCTTCCAATTTTATCACTTGCAGTAGATGCCATGGCCACAATACCATAGATCGGGACACCCATCTTCAATGCGAGTTCAGCAGTCATCAAAATCTGTAGACCGGCACCCTGTGCTTCCATAAATCCACTTCTGGATGTCGTCGTTGGTCTTGACATCTCCGCTGGAGTTCTTCCATGCGCGAACTCATCATCCGCGTTCGAGGTTGCATTCATATTACCAAACTCGTAAGACCCTTCTTCTTGGAAGTCGTCGTATCCTCCGACGATCACAATTTTAGCCTTGCCCGACAAAATTGTATCCATTCCTGTATCGACTGACTCGAGAGCCGTAGCACAGGCGCCAACTGGCGTCTTAATTGGCCCAGATGATGAAAGCAGCAGCATGTTGACCCAGGCAGACATAGTGTTGATGAAAGATTCTTGCAAAATATCGTTTTGAACAGGCTGATCCAAAAATCTGTCTTTGAACATTCCCTTCAGTGCAGTAACACCACCCATACCCGAGCCGGAACAGTTACCCAGCTCAGACACGTGAACGTATTTGTAGAATTCGTAAGGGTCAGTAATACCAGCGCTCAGCAGCGTCTCAGCAGTGGCCACCAGCACGTAAAGGGTAATAGGATCAACTTGAGAGATGACATCGTCGTCAATACCGTACGTCTTCGGATTCCAACCGGTTGGAATTTGTCCAGCGACAAGCCGGTCAAACCGCAACGCTTTAGGAATGAATAGCTTGGCTCCCTTGAGAACACGGACAGAATATTCCTCTGCACCGTCGATCGGGAAACAATCAACAAATTCCCCGTGCAGAGCTTTGTATTGTTCTGCGGTGACCTTATCGGTCTCAAACGGCTCCAAGTCATGTTGGATGACAACTTCCTGAATCAAACGCTTCTTTTTTGGATCGTAACCGTTGAATAATTCGGGTTCGACCAATCTGACACCAGAGTGTTTTAAGATCTTTTCTTCGTATTTCTTCTTGATTTCTCGGTCTTCCACAGGCAGTCCAGTTTCGGCATCCACCCACCCAGTATGTTGCTTGCCTTTGATGTTTCCGTTGAAGTATTTGATAAAGCCCATGATCCAAGCCATCTCAATACACCCTTCTAAAGAAAACTCGCCAAATGCTTCCATTTCCCATCTTGTTCTCGCATTTCCCCATGGACCAACCTCCGAGAAACCGGTAACAACAATGACTCTCTCCAAATCTAACATACCCTCGAGATTTGGTGCAATCTCCTTGACCTGATTGTATGGCTTTAACTCAGGGAAAGCAAACTTCATGTTAGCCTTAGGCTTAATCTCGGCTGCATTGAAAGGATCGTCAGCAGTGGAACCATTGACAATTTTGTGCTCGATTGCAGTCTCGACACTGACAGCTCTGCGAACATCGGAAGTTCTGTTAATGTCAGATCTGAGCTTATTGGTATACTCTCTCAGGTTTTCAATGAACTGCAGTCCACCATTCAAATCAGCCATGATAGGCGATTCTTCACAAAGTTTGACAACTTCCGGCGTCATGAGACCCAAGATATTGAATGCCATTTCTTTTTGCGAAAACGTCCTGACACCCAGTTTCTCAATGCCCTCGGCAATGATATTGTTACCAGACATTAAACCAGTACCTCTGGTCCATCCAATAACAGCACCGCAGATAGTAAGGAATGGCGACCATGATTCTGAATACCATCTGTTGAACAACGTTTCTAAGCCCAATTTCGACTCCGAGTAAAGACCGTCTGATCCGAAAGTACCATGATTTGGTGAAAGAGGGAGGATGACTTGTGCCGGCCTAGTCTGCGTGTTTCTGATTTTCTTCTGGGTAGAAATCTCACCCAAGAGTCTCAGCAAATTTGTTAGCATGATTCTATGAGCCAACTCAGACTTTGAGTCGATGCCGTCAAGCTCAATTCCCATCTCAGGGATGGCAGCGAAAGGAATAACATAGTCAAGATCCCACTCGAGACCCCCCTTTTTGCCATCTTCATAGATGTAACTGACTAAAGCCTTGACATCCTGTTTAGAGCCTTGGTTGAAAGGAACGACGACCAACGTGGAGCCAGCCGCACCGTATCTCGAGTACATATGTTGATAGTACTCAGTAACCGATTTGGAATACCGCGAAGTTGTCACTATAACTTTGGCACCACCAGCCAGTAAACCTTGCAAAATTTCAGCACCTATCGAGCCTGCACCCGCTCCCGTGATCAAGGCATATTTGTTTTTGAAACTCAGACCGTTTACGGCACCCTTTTCCAACCCATCAAGGAACACAGAGGACGAAACTTTATCGTATTTCCAAGCACCCAAACGATCTTTCTTCTGTATGTGCAAAAACGGAATGGTATCCGGTGGAATAGAACTCGAAACAGGACTATGGATTTCAGAGTAGTCCTTTAGGGAAGCAATTTCGTCAGTATCGCTGTCCGACTCCAAAAGTGCTTCATCACCCAAAACCGCTCTCGCTGACTTCGAGACCTCGATTTCAGACGATTTGTCAACAAAATCCAACAACTTAGCATATAGCTTTTGAAATTCAACCTTGGTCTCCGCCGAAGCCTGTTTGGAAATTGCCTTATAAATCTTAGACAAGTCCTCCTTGATTGATGGCTGGGACTCTTTCGTTAGCTCTCCACCCTGCGCCATCTCATGAACGTACTGCTCCAACTTTCTGACGGCCGGACGGCTCTCTTCAGAGTAAACAACACGACCTTTCTTATCCACCGTAGTTTTAGGACCTGTCGGATGAGATATATCTTTGTAGGCAGGCGGGTTGTTTAAGACCTCTTCACAATTGTCAATCAGTTGCTGCCCAAGCTTTTTTGCCAACTCGTACGTTTCTCCTTTCTCTGTTGGCGTATGATCAATGTGGTATTGCATGAACTTGATTAATGTCGGGTTTGCCCTGTTCATGATTTGAATACATTGAGTGACCGTCTCTCTGTCAACGGATGTCAACTTACCGAAAATGATGTCAAAGTACATCGATAACGCGTCTTGCCTGGCCCAATTCCAATAAGAATCATAGGTACGAGCTTTGAGAGAGGAGAAAACGGGCTTGATCCCCGAGGCATAAAACTCACCATGCTCTTCGGCCCACAAATCTAGTTCGGCCTGTAGAAGTGCAGTAGCTTCCTTCTCTTTCACCAACAACCTTTCTCCCTTGGTCAAATCATATTTGAGATATCTTGCAAGGGTCTCCAAGTGTTGGCGAGCAACAATCTTATTGTCCTTCATCGCAGCATCGAGAGCAGCAGAATCAACGACAGCAGCAGAACCAGAAGCACCACTAGATTGAGACGAAACCTGTGCAAGAGTAATTCCGGCCTGGGAAGCGTAGACCTGAGCAGCCGCATCCAAAAATGACTTTGCATCGGCTTCGGATCCCAATCTCTGATCGGGCTCCTTACCTAACGCATGTAACAAAACAGAATCTTGTCTACCGGCGCCCAAGCCCCATCTTGACTGAAGATATTTTCTTGCCACACCAACTGAAAACCCACCTGGCATTTTTGAACTCATCAACCGAGCAATAAGAGAAGAGGACTGTTTACCCAGAGATCCCGGAAATGTATCCTGAAACTGATCGGCCAATTCTTGCAGGGGGCTATCCTCCGGCTTTTCGGGGGTAGAGCCAAATTCCTTTCCCAGATCACCCAGAATTTCATTCTGGACGGTAGATTTACCGCCAACCAAATCTTTTATTGCCTTGCTCATAGGGATATCTGCAAGAGGCCTCTTCAGTTTGTGAGCCACCAATGTTTGCAAAATCAGAGCGGCCTTGACAGGCTCGTCTGGGACATCGACAGCCTGCACAGGAGCTGCAGAAACCGGTGCAGGTGCCGCAACCTGAGTCTGAGCCGTTGTGAGATTGTTTGAAACCGATTCTTTGGAAGTGGTTTCCGGCTCAGGCGAAGTCACCAGCTCAGAAGGATCTGGAGTGTAATAGATCTCCTTTTGGTCTTTCGAGTAGCACAACACCTGTCTCTGAAGTGAGAGGGCTGCATCATAAGACTCGTACTTGGCTTTGATAGTACGAGATGCCATGCCTGCCAATGTCGGAGATGGACCAATTTCAACAACGCGTTCAGTATTAAAGTCTCTCAGGAAAACATCTTGAGTCTCGATCCAACGAACAGGGGAAGCAAACTGATAGGCAAGCAGTTCTGTCAACAAGACATGGGAAAGCTCTTGTTCAATCTCTGCCTTCATCTTTGATAAGTTAGAAATAGATTAAAAGCTCAAAGAATTTATACTTCGAAACTTGTTGAATCAATTGTTGAGATGGGTTGAGGTGTGAACTTTATTCTTTGTTGGATTGACTTAAATTATTAACTATAATGTATGCGTGTAAGAAACAAAATATCAGCTTGCTAACAAACACCTGTAGCCTTTAAATATTGGTTTAACCCCATTAACTTATGCCACCAGATACAATTGGTCAGAAAACATCCGATACAGTTGATGGACCACCATCGGAACTCGATCTTTCATCTGTCGTAATTCCAGAGTCTCTGCCTCTAATCTCGGAACGTCTGGATAAACTCAGACTTTTGATAGTGGCCATAGAAGCGTTCATAAGCGAACACCATTCAATTGTTTCGGCTAACATCAAACTCCACGAAAGGCTAAGAAAACACAACTCGATAGATTCGGTTGTTAAATTCGAAGTGGATCCAGAAGGCGACAAAGCTGTAGCTGGCGCTGTGGGAGATACATCTCGAGACAAAGATCTCCAAGACCTCAACGGGTTTTTCAAAGGAATCCAGACTCAAACCGACAAACTGATCGTTTCTTTGGAGCAAACTGAAAGTTTATTCAAAGTTCAACTTATTCCACAGCTGAAGGAATTATTGACTCTACTCGTCAACAAAGAAAAAGATTTCCGTACTCAATGGCACAAAAGGGAGAAGGAGTTTCGTTCGACACTACAGGCAACCCGGAAAGAACTTGAACATTTTGAGTTATCCATCAACAAATTTGACAACCTCCAGGAAGAACAGCGGCCCGATTTTAGACACGATCCATATCTTAATAGAAAGATGCTGTGCTCTCAAGCCGAAATACAATTGTCGGCAGAAAGAGACTTTTCCAATTTCGTGCAAAAAAGCGAAAGTGATTTACACCTCTTGGAAGTTCACATCATGGAGGGCCTCAAGCAGGTTTTCAGTTCTTTTTCGGCTTTCCTGATTAAGTTTCATGATTACTATAGCCAAGAGCTGTCTGTTCTCAGCAACTATATTCAAGCTATCCCAAACGAACTAGAATGGGAAAGGTTTGAAAAAACGTATCGAAAGAGGCTTCACGGGACGAGCGATGCCGCAATTCCGCAAAATTTCAATTCTCAGTTACCTGCTCAATCCAAAGGACGACGCAGTCTGGAAACTATCCAGTTTCCCAATCAAGACCATTTCTCGACAGCCCCAATTTTAGAAGGGGTCTTATCCAGAAAGGATAGCAAATTTTCCTCCAAATTGGCAGCGCATTACTATGTTATCACGAAATCAAAGCTTTTCTACGAGTTCCCTTCAAGAATGTCTTCTGAGTTACAACCAACGCTAGTACTATTTCTTCCAGATTGTTCTTTGAAAGATATATCAGAAGGCAGCGCTATGAGATTTAAACTTCAGGGCAAAGATATGAGTTCTTCCTTTTTGAAGACTTCGAGGACTTTAACTCTGCAGGCATCATCAGAGGACGATTTCAAAACATGGTTTAACGTTATCAGTGAGCTAAGCGGTTTGATGTATAGCAATGAGGATACGCGCGAGATAGAATAAATGTAGGTATAATCAGACTTTCATATCTCCTTTCAACCATTCACATAAGTAGGTTTAACTCAAAAAAATATTTTTGACATACAACATTTAGTTATTATAAAGTTCAAAGTAATTTACTTTATCAGGGGAGCGATAATGCCTATCTTTTATGTGAGAAGCAACTTTATTGGGTTATAGAAGATGAGCGATACAGGTCATTTCCGCGAGAATCTGCAAAATTCAAATGATGGGAATCTGCTAGACAACTCAAATGAAGACACCACCCAGTCAATTCAATCGAATTCAGACAGTACCCAAGTTGTCGTTTCTCTTGGGTCAACAGGCGATTCAGCTGTGGGGGAGGGTCATGATTTAGTTCGGGATGCTGAACCACGTGCCACCCAAGAATGCGCAAGTGCAAAACCGTCTTTTAGAACTTGCTTGCCTTATAAAGAGACCAAAGGCAAATATACAATATACGACTTCAGGGTTCTCCGAACTTTAGGCACTGGATTTTTTGGCCGTGTTCACCTGGTAAAATCTAACCACAATGGAAGGTATTACGCTATGAAAGTATTTCGCAAACGAAATATCGTGAAAGCCAAGCAAGTCGAACACACAAACGACGAGCGCAGAATACTGGCGTCGTTACAACACCCATTTATCACTCGAATGTGGGGAACCTTTCAAGATTCTAAGTCCATATTTATGGTCATGGACTATATTGAAGGCGGGGAGTTATTTTCACTTTTAAGGAAGTCCAGAACTTTTCCAAACCAAGTTGCAAAGTTTTACGCTGCCGAGGTTCTTTTGGCTTTGGAGTACCTCCACTCGAAAAATGTAATATATCGCGATTTAAAGCCAGAAAATATCTTGCTTGCTAGGTCTGGGCATATCAAGCTAACGGATTTTGGTTTTGCAAAAGAAGTCGAAACTACCACTTATACGCTGTGTGGAACTCCCGATTATATCGCACCAGAGGTCATCGCTGTTCAAGCCTACAACAAATCAGTTGACTGGTGGTCTTTTGGTATACTAATATACGAGATGTTGGTTGGAACAACCCCTTTCTATGACTCGTCACCACTCAAGATTTATGAAAAGATTACCAATGGAATGTTCTCAATACCCGAACACATCCAACCAGAAGCTAAATCGATCCTCAAAGGGCTGATTAAAAAAGATGTCACCTACAGGTTGGGAAATTTACAAAATGGAATCGACGACATCAAACAACATCCATGGTTTGAAGAAGTGGTCTGGGGAAATCTCATCAACGGAAAAATCGAGACCCCTTACGAACCCAATATTCCCAATGGCGTTGGCGATAGTTCTCAATTTGAGATATACCCAGAGGAAAATTATGATTACGGAAACTATAACGATCCGGACGAATTTGGGCTTTACTTTCCAGACTTTTGAGATGAAATTTCATTTCAAATCGCTTGTCTTCGCCTTGCCGTAAAGCGCCCACTTCAACTTTCATTGATAAAAAGAATCTTTTTGGAATCTAATGCCTCGACAACGGAAAGCAGAAACTCGTTTTCCTGGATACATTCCCCATATGATAATCTGTGAAGTTTGGACAACTGATTAATTTTATCCATGAACTTCAGATCTCGGTGAGCCCCTTTGTCGGACAACAGGAACATCACTAATTTTTGATGCGATGTCAGGCCATTCTTTCCCTCCATAGAAGAGTCGGTGAAGCTTTTTAACATAGATTTCACGGCTTCATAATTGGAGGGGATCGTTTCCCATAATGTGTACGCTAGCGCCGTACACTCGGTCTCTCGAACTATGTGGATCAGATCAGATCGCCCTTCTAATTTAATGAGAACAGTCATCAAATTTCTTAAATACTTCTTGTCGTTGAACTTCCTGCTCTTGATATTCGGAATCAATAGGGTCTGTAGACATTTGTCAAGAAGTCGTCTTAATGAGACGTGTGCACCGACCTGGTCCAGTCTATAAAGAAATAGGACATAGGCCTTGCATAGGAATGTTTCGTCTGCGGACAGAAACGTGTGTTCACTTTCCGAAACACCAACCAGGTCAAGAAGGTGCGCCTGATCGAGCTTAAAGACAATATTGGCTAGAATTGATATTGGCATCTCGTTCTTTGGTAAGAGCTCTCTGGCTAAATTTAGTAGTTGCGATTGATCTTGAGTGTTGCGAATAATCAAATCGAGAGACTGCCTCCCGGTATCATCTGCTTGCAGTCCCGCATTTCTTTGGCGTAAAACCGAATTAAGCTTTTCTTGAATTCCTTGATAATGAAGGGCACTCATTATCTCGACCGACCTCAAGGCTTCAAATCGAGATTCAATCTGTTCATCCAGGTTAACGTTCGATCGTGGCTTTTCCAGTAATTTCATTAGGTCATTCATCATCCCATTGGGTCTTCGCCATTTTTGTTTATACTGTATGTTATTTTTTGATGATTTGTTGTCCTGTTTATGGGTTGTATGAAGCGACACCCTAAACATATTAAACACACATAACCTTCCTCCCCTTCTGGGCACTATGCGCAATAAAGTCATACTATTTGACCATTATACAAAGATAGTAAACGGGTTGGCAGATGGTCAAAATCAGGGTAATTTTTTCAAACCCGTCAAGGTTTCTGTAATTTTTGCGAGCACGACCTTATTTACCGGACAACCTCAAAAGACCCGAATCGCTCGATTTCTTTCATCACCGTGCACGAGCGACAAGAGGCCTCATATAGTTATCCCAGGATGTTTGAATTACCAGAGTAGCAGACTAAAACGAGGCCATACAAATCTGTTGTATCCTTCAAATACTTGGGTGTAACTTTCTAGTACGAAAGTCTTTTCGGTAAATTGTTTTTGCCAATCCGCAAAGCTATTCACCAACAGTTGTCTTCAATTGCGCTTATGTAAACTCTTACCTAAAGGTTATAATAAGTTTTCTTCATGGAGCGATTAATTACATAATGTCAAATTTGCCATCAGGGTAATTTTCTAAATTAAACGTAAAACCACAAATCGGATTATTACCCGGACATGGAACCTGATTTCACAAAGACATCTTCTATCAACGCCGTCGAAAAGGGGGAGGTGAATGGCCGAATGAGTTGAGAGATATTCTTTTCTTGATTGCGGTTTGCTTGTCGGACCACTTTATTTGACCTCGTAATTGTAGCTCTAGCTTGAGATCGGAGTTTAGGGACCCTGAAGCGGAGCTTGGAATATGGCGATGTGCTAAAGTTAATTGTCTCTTTGCATTGGGGCCTGACTTTCAGTCCAATGACTTTTTCACTATTCTGAAGACTCTCCCTCGTTATGATGTGATTCGTCCCCTTCATCCCGAAACTGGTAGAAGCAAGCGAATTGAGGTAGCCCTGGGTAAATTCTGCCTCCACAGACTCCAAGTAGCTGAAGTACTGATGGAAATCGTCGTCGCGATGACACCAGACCTACCTGTTAGAACCGATCATAAACTCAATACTTACTTGTGAGGCGACTTTTGAAATTGTTGTCAAATCAAGTGAGAACATATTATGTTTCAATATCCCATTTATGATCGCCCTGGCTATCACAAATCTGTTTTTGGCCTTGTGGGTGACCTTAACTGATTTAGAGCTTCCTTGCTCGGAAACTCGCGTAGGTCCACATTTGGGGACTCTATATCCACATACTGGGTGTTGGTCTTCTTGGGCACTCATAATGTTGCGAATAGGGTCTGGTCAGTCAAATTATATTTTGAATGGTTGCAAAGATGAAACATTTCACTTCAGATATCTGCCAAAAATTAATCGAACCGAAATTGATTCCTATTGATCCTTTCACTTAGGTTTGGAATTTTACCTTGTCTCTGTATCAGATGAATTCTTCGCAATTATATGATTCTTTGGTTCGGATCCTTGCTATCACTGAAGAAGCACTTGGAAAACA